ATGGTTCAGAAGGGCTGTGCCGGAGCCTGGCCAGGGCCAGGTCAACAGACACTTTGGAGATGTGCTCAGAGCGTCTGTGAGTGGATTTTAGAAAGGGGCACGATCAGGAGACTGGAACAGGGCTGGCTGGAATGCAGGGAGCTGCAAAGGAGGCCCAGCCAGGCCCCTGGGGGGTAGCATACATGCCGAGCCCTCGAGAACTCCGCACTCCATGAAAGGAGTGCCACCACTAAAGACTTGGTTTAGGTCCCCACTGTCCCTTCTGCCCTCGTGTGTGATGCGCAGATGAGCACATCTGTACCTCCGGAGCAGCTGGGGTGTGATTCCTGGGGGCAGGGAAATAGCTTCTGGGGACTGCAGTCAGGGCCAGGCCCAGTGCTCGGCTGCTGAGCCACAGGCCTGGTAGGAGAGTCCTCCACACCCCACCCAGTTAGGCTCGAAGGCATCCTCGGAGGAGGGCTCAGTCTGTAGCTTGCTTGGCATCACACAGGTCTGTCTCCCGGACTGGAGTGGGGAGCCAGGGTTCTGCTCAGGCTTCTCGTGGGTAGGCTCTGGTCCTGTTCCCCTGGTCAGCAGTGGCTGGGTCTTCAGGTCTGTAGAAAATCCCTTCTTTGCCTTGCCTTTGGGGTTGGTAGCCAGGGAGCATGGCCAGGACTCAAGGCTGGTAGATTTGACCAAGGCTGTGACCACCTACACCGAGTGCTGCTCCCACCTCCGTCGCAGGCTGGGACCCCTGGAGCTGTGCCTGACTCCACTGTGTCCGTTCACTTGCTTGTTCATTTTTTCATCCAAACTATGTGGACTGATTCTGAGATGAACTGGTCATAGAAAGCCCCTCAGACATCGATGGTACCCAAGCTGAGACTTGAAGAATAGCCCAGGTAAGGTAGAGAGGACTTGAGTCTGAGGAGGTGGGGGGCTTACTTGAGAAACCCACACTTGGAGTTGCTGGAGGAAGTGGTGAGAGGGCCGGGTTGCCTAAGGTGCGGTCATGTGGGTCACTAAGGACCAGGTGACCCAGTGCCCTGTCACCCCTTCCTGGAGCATGCCTTCCTCCTGACGCAGTGGGGAGCGGCCTAGCTGAGGCCCCTCCTTCGCTCATTCAGGTCTTACACACACGTTCTGTCTTACCACTGTGGGAGGGGCCTGTGCTGAGCAAGATGGAGGTAAATGAGCACTGCAGGGAGCTGAGCCCTGTCAGGAGGGGACCCACGAGTCACAAGTGTGTTAGCTGGGGATAAAACAGCCTCTGTTGTCAATTAAGTGATGCTCGCCGGTGCTGATGCACACCTTTAATCCCAGCACTCAGCCGGAGAGGGAGGCGAGCAGAGGCAGGTGGATCTCCGTGAGTTCGGGGCCAGCCTGGTCTACAGAGCAAGTTCCAAACAGCCAGGACTACACAACAGAGAAACCCTGCCTCAAATAAAACAAAACCAAACCCTAATTAATTAACTAATTCAATGATTATAACCTATGGTTCAGTAATACATTAAAAAAGTCAATGGTAATTTTGTAAATTAGTAAAAAACAAACAAAAGCCCAAAAGAAAGAAAAAGAAACCAATAAAACTGAAAACAAAACAGTATAGAGGGCCGGGCGGTGGTGGCGCACGCCTTTAATCCCAGCACTCGGGGAGGCAGAGCCAGGCGGATCTCTGTGAGTTCGAGGCCAGCCTGGACTACAAAGCGAGTTCCAGAACAGGCGCAAAGCCACACAGAGAAACCCTGTCTCGAAAAACCAAAAAAAAAAAAAAAAAAAAACCAAACCAGTATAGAGAAAGGTGAACGAAGCTAAGAAATGGTTCTGTGAAGGACAGGAGTCACAAATCACCAATCCTGGAGATGAAAGGGGCCATCACTGTGAATCCACAGCATTAAAGGTAAGAAGCAGATAAACCACCAAGAACTCTAAATAAACACGTGTCCAGTCCATTTGACAGCTTGGAGGAAACAGCCGGCCCGTTCCTCCAAAGCATGGGTTTGCTGTGCCACTTTCCATTATTGCTCTGCAACAAATCTCCATGAACTCGGGCTGTAAACATTCACGTCTGCTTTCTTGCAATTTCATAGGTTGTAAGTCTGACCCAGTTCTCACGGAGCAAAACTCAAGGTGTCATGCGATGTGGCGGGGCCTATGCCCAGGCCTTCTCCAGCTTTGGAGCTACAGGAAGCTAGCCAGGCTCCTACACAGCATCACTCTGAAAACGTCTGTCCCTGCCTGCCACTTTGTGGGTGCTTGCTTGTGGTTGGGTGCCAAAGCCAGGGCCTCGGAGAGCAAGGTGGGTTCAGCTTGATTCCCATATTCACACACTGAAGACAAGGCCCCGGAATTGCCTCATAGATGAGAACACGTAACAAAACCCAGTTGTATCTGCCTGGGTTGATTTTAATGTCAGTTTACCGTAAACTAGAGTCACCTGAGTAGGGACCCTCACCCGAGGAACTGCCTCAATTGATGCAGGGAGACCCCCCCCCCAAATGTGGGCGCAACGGTCTGGTAGCTGTGGTAATCTGTGGTGTTGCTGCTGCTGAGTCCTCTGCTACCAGAAGCAGCATCTCCATGCTTCCATCACTGGGGACAGGGATTCTCCAGGAACCCTCCAGGTTTTTGGCACCAGATTAGAACTGCTGAGGCACCCAGCAGTTACCAGGTTCTCAACCCCTGGGGCGTTAGGCAGCTGCTGTTGCTATTTGCAAGTGAGCTGATTTAATAAGTGTATGTGTGTGTGTGTGTGTGTGTGTGTGTGTGTGTGTATGTGTGTGTATGTGTGTACATACATCACCCTACCCGTTCCATCCCTCTGGGGAGCCCTACCACACCACCCATAACAAAAAGAAGGAACTTGCCTGACCTAGTAAGAATCTCCACATAACCCTGCAGCTGCCATCCTCAGATGGTGGGGAAAGACTGACTTCACCCCTCTAAGATCAACCCCAAGGTTGTCTTTACAACTCCCCAGTATCGTGCTGAAGTCCTGGGCAAAACAAGGGAGAAGCGACAGATTAGGAAGAAGAGATTGTACGGTGTTCCCAGGTGACAGATGGTCAGTGTGTGAAACCCCACAGACTCCACAGAAGAAGGTCTCCTGGAGTTACTACGTTTGTAAAGGACAGGGTGCAAGGTCTCTGCACCGAGTCAGTGTGTGTCTTTAGACTGGGCATAAATAATTAGACATTTAAATTGGAAAGCAGTACTTGACAGCTGCAGCAGAAACCTGATGTGTAGCTTATGGCGGCCAAGGTGCAGGAATCCATGCCGGCAGCTGTAAAATACCAAAGAGGAAAGTCACAGAAGCGGGAGACATCCTGAGCGCCTGGGTTGGAAGGCTCAGTGCAGCTGGGGTGTCAGCCTCAGCAAAGTTAATTTTATGTTTAGATGTTAGGAGTCTTGTTTGAAAATTTAAGTAGAAACACAAAGGCATTAGAATAGCTAAAATAATTTTGATAAGGAGGAGGAAGGCTCACACTAGCTAATTTTAAGACTACAAACTCATAGGAATCAGGACCACGTGACTTTGATCAAAGAATAGATATAGCCAGGCATAATAATGCAGGCCTTTAATCCCAGCACTTGGGAGGCTGAGGCAGGTGGATCTCTGTGAGTTTGAGGGTGGCCTAATCTACATCGTTCCAGGACAGCAAGGGCTATGTGGAGAGACCCTGGTCTCCAAAAAATAGACATACAGATCAATAAATCAGACACTAACACACATAGCGCCCCCTGTGGTTAGGGCTGACCTTCCAGTCTGCCTGAAGCACAGAGCCTGCCTAACTCTCTAAAGCTGCCCCTTCCTTTCCTTTCTTTCTAGTGCCTTTTCTATCTTTTTGTTTTGTTTTGTTTTGCTTTTTTGAGACAAGGTCCCCCGCATAACCCTGGATGGCCTGGAACACACTATGTAGAGCAGGCTGGACTTGAACTCACAGAGTTGCCGGTCTCTGTCTTAGCAGTGCACTTCTGCTCTGTGGCTGTGATTTGCAACTTTGAGACTTAACTGGCAGAATGAGAATCTCTTTCATTCTCCTCCACAGCTTCTTAGTGGTTTTTCTTCCTCCAGTTGAGAATGGCCTTTCATGTGCAGAGAGCACTGGATAAGCTTCTTGGAGGTGTGTCCAAATTTCTCACCCATCATGAACTTTGGAGCCATTATTATTGGGTAAAAGTAAGTGTTACTTGAATACAAGAGCTACATTACCATGACTGGGGGCCCTCTGATAACCAGTTAGTTGGTGACTAATGAGCATGTAGCAGATGCAGTGTGGATACACTGGGCAAAGGGCCGGTGCTCAGGCCCGTGCTCACCGCAGCAGGATGGAGCAGAACAGTGTGAGGCTCCATCACTCTACACAAGCATGCAGCTTGAAGCTTACGGAATGTTAATTCCTATCATTTTCTATGTAATATTTTTGGACCTTGGTTGACCAAGGGTAACTGAAATGAAGACAAAGCAAACTGAATGAGGAGGGGATGCCATACAGTCAAGTGGTTTTGTTTGTCGTTTTTGAGACAGGCTCTCTTATATAGATAGCCCAGGCTGTCCTCGAACTCAGAGATCCACCTGTGCTGGGATTAAAGGTGTCACCACAGCCAGCTGACTTTTCACTAAGGTACAAAGGTTGAGAAAAGATTGTCTTTTTTTTTTTTTTGGACAGGGTTTCTCTGTGTAATTTTGGTGCCTGTCCTGGATCTTGCTCTATAGACCAGGTTTGACCTCGAACTCACAGACCCAAGATTGTCTTTTTATAAGTGGTGCTGTAGCAGTTGGACCTCTGTGGACCCCTGTACCTCACCACTAATACACAGTTCAATGTGTGTATCACAGACCTAAATCTAAAACTTTTCTTAAAAAAAAAATAGACAAATCTTTATGATCTAGAGTCAGGCAGAGAGTTCTCAGATATAACACTGGATTTATCATCCAGAAAATTAAAAATCTCATAAGTTGAACTAAAAGTAAAAACTTCTATTAAGAAATTAAGAAAAAAAAAGCCACAAACAGAAAATCCTTTACAAATCACACATTTAATGAAAGGTTTATATCCAGAATATGTAGGAACTTTCAGAGCCCATCTGTAGATCAACCCGATAAAAGACAAAAGATTTGAAAAGGCATTTCACCGAAAGAAACAGATGGCTGAGGAGCACACGGGCGCACTCGACAGCCTTAGTTGTTAGAGAAATGCACATAAACCACACTGAGACATACCGTACGCCTATACCCAACAGCCTGGGCACGCCAAGTGCCAGAGTCGGAACAGCTGGAGGCAGGCACACTGCTGCTTGGCGAAATGCAAAATGGCGCAGAGTGATGTTGTGAGGTTTGCAAGTCTCTTACAGTTGAACATTACTTATGACAGAACCTTCTTCCTAGGTGTTTACTTGAGATGAACAAAAAATCTGTTTATACAAAAGCCTGTGCTCAAATGCGTCTGTAAAATGTATGTATTAAAAAAAAATTAGAAGTAGTTCCAGTCCCTGATAGGGATGAATGGGCACACTGTGCACACTCTAACGGAATACTACTCACTACTGAAAACTGAGCAAAGGTGCTCACAACAGTGAGTCGTGCTTCTCAAAGGCTCCGTGCTCCGAGATGCACTATACAAATGTAACAGGATAAAGGCCAAGAACAAGGGGATTTCATTTATGCAGAGAGGATGGGTGTGCTGGAACTATCTTGGAATAGCACGAGAAGTGTGTAACTTTCCTGTGACATCAGAAAGAGTAGGTTTTACTACATGTAAATTTCAACCTACTTTTTCATTTTAATTATATTTTTAAAATTTAAAATTTTATTTACTATGTATGTGGGTATTTTGCATGCATGTATGTCTGTATATTGTGTGTGCCTAGTGTCTGCAGAGGCCAGAAGAAGGTGTTGGATCCCCTGAAATGGGTTACAATGGTTATGAGCCACCACGTGAGTGCTGGGAATCAAACCCCAACATGTGCTCTGAACCACTGACCATTTCTCCAGCCCCACCCCAACCTAAATTTTTAAAAAGCAAAAAACAAGAGTGAGCCTCGGAGGTTCCTCCTTCCCATAGCTGCGTTTCCGCATACTGTGCTCCGGAGGCTGCTCACCCTGTCTCAGGGTGACTTGCACAGCCTGGGGTCCTGTGCTGTTCTTCCCAACTCTGGTTCAGGACAGCACTCTGGACCGGACAGGAATCTGACGTAACAGAACCTGTACCAGAGAAATTGGAACACCCCATACATAGACGGAAGCTTGACCCTAAGAAAGCGATGATGCTCGCCAAGGTGGCTCACCATACATGTAACTCTGACACTCGGGAGTCGGGAGTTCCCGACTGTTCAAAGTTTAAGGCCAGCCTGGTTTACATAGGAGTGCCAGGCCAGCCTGGTCTACAGAGCGAGACCATCTCAAAACTTTAAAAAAAAAAAAAAGGCAGAAAATGTTACTGCCGGTCAAACGTACGTGTGAGTACAGCAGTGTTGGTGGCAGAGGGACTGGAGGGAGTGTTTGATGACCCTGAGTGTTTGATGAGTGTCTGACCCCGCAACACTGACCAACAGGTCAACAGAAATGTCAGACAACATTCACGTCATCTGCTGGGGGCACAGGCTGGCTGAGGTACGAGAGTGCAGAGTGGACAAGGCATGCTTTACCGCCTGTAAATGATGGAGTGTAGAGGTGGAACCTCTCCTGGCCCTGCCCTGGACATTTCGGCAGCGGGCACTGTGTGGGCACCTCGGGCCTGTACGCCGTCATGGTGGGACAGACAGGAGCAGCAGACTCAGGGCTGAGTCCGGTACCATGGCAGCAGCCCACGTGTCAAGGATGAGCTGAGAAAGGAGCAGGAATCTGAAGCCTGTGAGACCACAAAGGCCTAGAGCAGGGACCCCATAACTGAAGCTCAGGGCTGGCTGGAACCTGGGGGTGTTGGTGGGACTACCTTAAAGGTGGTAGTGGGGTCAAGCAACTTGGTGCCAGGTGCCTTGGATGAGGGGCTTGGACTCTGCATCTGCTTCCTCAGCTCGCGGGCTCAAGAGATGAGAACATGAGAACATGTCGCCTGCCATGTTGTAGCTGTGGTGACATGCTGAGGACTGGATGAGGACTCTGGTATGCTCGGCACAGCAGCTCCCTCCTTCCTGCGGCCTGGCAGCTGAGCAGTGGGTGCACGGTTAAGTTGGGGACAGGGCACAGAAGGTGGCAGGGTGGTTGGAGAGGGTAGTCAGCCTGTGGAAGGCAGACCCCGGGGGGAGGGGGGAGGCCTGGGTGCTCTGCGGTGGGGAGCAGATCAGAGGGGCGAAGCAGCATGACAGGGAGGTGACATGCAGAATAGGGGCTTCTGTCCTGCTCACTCAGGCCTCACCAGGTTGAGAGGAGCATGTCTTTCTGGACCCAGATCAGGAGTATGGCCACGTAGGGAGGGGTGGTGTCCTGAGGAATGTCAGGGGGCAGGGACCAGCACCTCCCTGGGATCGTCACAAAGTCCCCACACAGTCCTATCTCACACTCCGAGGATCTGCAAAGAATCCCAAATGTTTCGAGATCTTGGTCTGGCTTCTTCAGTTACCAGTGTTTTACAAAAAGCTCCAGAACTTTGACAGGGGACACAGCAGAGACCGTGCCAGCACATGAAGTGACACCCGTGGGCTCCCAGAGAGCAGTGGGGGTGGTGCAGATGGCAGGGCCCCAATCTCAGACACCAGACATGGGTGGTAAGTGCACGGGCTCACAAAGGGCTTGATGCAGAAGCTGGCCTTGATCCGTGTGGCCGAGGCTGCTTAGCCCTCGGACTCGGCTATGGCAATGCCAGAGCTGGAAAGCAGACCGGACATAGGGACTGGGGACTCGCTAGGGTGTGGCAAGTGAAATGGCTGGGGACGGACGGCATGCAGAGCTCGGCTGACAAGCTATGGCAGTAACATACAAGGCTCCTCCTCCTCCAGTCCCATGCCCTTGGGGCACTGCAGGGTCACAGTGCAGAGCTGGCCAAGAACTACACCACACACGACCAGTCCGGAGAGCACAGAGAGGAGATCCGGAAACCCATCACACAGATGGATCTCTAAGGAGTCGACCTCAAGTTCCTGAGGAACGTGCTTCATTACTAAAAAGCAAAAGGAAGGCTCAGGCAGAGGATGTGAAGGGGTAGGAGGTGCAGAGGCCGTCAAAGCCCTTGTGAAGCCCAAGGTAAGCCCCACTGACCGTTCTCATCACCCACCCCAAGCTCGGGAAGCAGATTTGTTGCTTATGGCCAAGGGTCACAGGTGCTGCAAACCAAAGGCCAGGGCCCAAACCCAGGCCAAGGCCCCAGCTCCAGCGTGAGCCCACAGAGAACCACCTGCCAAGGTCCGGGCAGATGAACTGGTGTTGGTGTGACCCTCCACAGCATCTGCAGATGGTTGGTGGCCTACGCTGTATTTACAAACCAACTTGAGGCAAGATCTGTTCAAAACCACTACAAACACTACAGGGGGTCTGGTGGTGTCAGTGATGGGGACCTGTCTCCCTACAGCCTTCCACGTGCAGCAAGTGACTTAGGTCTTAGTCATCCAAACAAGATCACTCCATGTGAACAGCAGAAACAAGCACGGTGACATGTTCACTGTGGTGACAAAGAAGGCAGGTAAAGCGTCCTCACTGGTAAGGTGACTCTTGGTATACTTAAGGAAATGAAATAACGCACAGGGTGCCGGGTGTGTGTGTGTGTGTGTAAATCAGGATGCACCTGGCAGGTTGAAGGAATGCCAGGGATGTGTGCAGAACGCTGAAGAATGGAGAAGCCAGCGGGATGAGAAGACAGCCATCACTGAGGACTAGATGTGGTGACGTGGAGTCACCTGCAGGTTTGTGCAGACCTCCCGCTCCCTGGGACAGGGATGACTGCTCTGGAACCAGAGAGGGGAGGGCATGCTGTTAATAGCAGCCCACCTACTGGAATGCATCCCCACAGGTCCCTGTCAGTCATTAGCACAGTTCAGCAGGGATGATGGGAAATGGATTTCCAGAACACTAGACCACGGGGTGGGGTGGGGGGGGGCTGCCGCCATGTGAGTCACTCTATGGAAGGGTCCGTGCGACAAGAAACTGGGCCTGGCAATGGCACCCTGAGCAAGCTTGGAAGCACATCAGCCCATGAAGCCTACCCCGCCCTCTCAGCGTGACATCATGACCTGCAGGCGTTGTCGGGAAGTCTGCTAAGAGGTAACAGACTACTGCAGAGGTGGTCCCAACTGCAGACCCTGCACACATTTTAAAGGCAGTCTCATTTTGGCATTTAGCCAGAGAAAAGGTGACTGGGATCAATAACAAACCAAATCAGTCATTTAAAGCCAGGCGTCTGGGTAAGATCAGAAAAGCGACACGGAGAAGGACAAGGTTCAGGCACCCCAGGAGCAGAGACTGTGTGTGTGTGTAGGCACAGTGGAGGGAAGTGTGTTCAGGAAGTGTGTCCCCCTCACAAGCAGGTTTGATAAGATGGTAACAAAGGGCCAGTCTGGAAGGCAGTCACCTTGACAAGGGGACAGCAATTGAGGGGGCAAGAGCTGATTAAAATGGCAGAAAGAAGAGACTCCAGTAAGGCGACAATGGCTACAGCCACCTCCTTAAAGAGCCCCAAGAGGGACTGTCTACTGGAGAGGGACAGGAAGTGAGGCTAGGGAATGGAGACAGCCATCTCCACGTCATGGTCAATGCTGATGTGACTGGTGTGGCTCTGACTTGAACCCTGCAGACTGGTTAGATGGGAATACAGGCTGGGCCTCTGAACCTGAAGGTGACCTGACCTGACCTTCCTTCCCTAGGCAACTATCCTGGGAAGCGGGGCTCTGGGGGGCCCAGAGGCATGATGAACACAGGCCTGCAGCTCTTCTTGAAGACATAGAAACAACTTATTCTTGGTTTCATAGTGGACTTTATTGGGAAAATTAGTGTAAAAAACAGTTAGATTCACAAAATTTAAATAAGACAGTAAACTCTTACCTTGTAGCTATGGTAATCGCTCTAGTAATCACAAAGGAGGTGGAGTCTAAATTATTGCCTAAGCAAACACTATTCTGTCAATTCTTTGACAGCTCAAGGCAGGAAACACTGTGGTTATTAGAAGTGAGCCTGAGGATGAATTTGCATTTGACGCTGGAATAACAGGGGGAGCGTGTTCTGATTACAGCATCACATCTTTCTAGCCCGAAAAAGCAAGTCTATTAATGTCCTGCAGCAGAGCACATTAGTAACTGTAGCCATGCATTATAATTCCCATTTTGTTTCATAAAGAAAGCAATCAATTTCCTACACAATGCATTATGTTTTATTGTTTCCTATGGTTTATGCTTCAGAAGAGGTTCCTTCTCCAGACTGTTTCTTAGGATGCCCAGTGGCTTACCCTGGGTCACGTTTGGTCATTTAATTCCATACTGCCCAATGGTAGGGCTGAAGGCAACCTCTCTGCTCCGGCCCTCACCCCTACCCAGAAAGCAGACAGCTCATCCTACTCTGAAATGTGACCAAGAAGTTTGTGTGGTACTCTTTGGTTATGGAACTTTTATTTTCATTTAAGCTTATAAAAATATAGCTAGAAATATACTTCTGAATTCTAAAGCTTTTTTTTAAAGATCAGCTTTAACACAAACATGTCCTTGCAAAATTCACCACCTGGTTAAGTTGGAAATCTGCTACCTCCCTGTGGAATCTAAGTGTTCTCTACTTAGCAGATACATCTGAGTGAAGAAGCGCTTGCAGGCCCCACGGTGGAGCAGCTCAGATGCTGTCCATGGCTTTGAACTCGCTGAGGGCCTGCACAGGGCTCACATGCTTCTTCTGAGAGGCTCGCTTAATCTTGGTCTGCGTCTCATCCTGCTTCTCTCTCTTCACCAAGGGCTTCTTCTCAGGGGCCTTCATCTTCCAGGACACGGCAGGAAGGTTGAGGGAGGCCATGCCCTGGGACTTCTGGTACTTGGTGGAAGCCACATAGGAAGCTTTCACTGTCTGCACGACTGCGTTCATCAAGTTCTTGGCTGCCTGGATCAGGGACATGGCGCTGTCCACCTACAAGGGACAGATGGCGTGGTGAAGAGCCTGACTCGAACCCTGCATACATGCAGGCCTGGCCAGAGCATCTAGGCCTAAGCCCGCCCGCCCGCCCCCCCCCCCCCCCCCCCCCCCCCCCCCCCCCCCCGCTCAGGAACAAGGGCCTGAGGTTCTCCAGAGCCCTGTGACTGCTCTCTCAATGGCAGTTCTGATCCACGTAACCTGCAAATACTTGGCTTTGAGAAGAAATGGAGACACCAGTGAAGCAGAGGACCACCTCACCATCCCTGCCCCCCGGGGCTGGGGGCTTACGTGACGTGCTGAGACTGCAAGGCTGTGTAGCAGCGACCCCCGCCAACAGAAGACATGAAGTCACGTCCACCCACCACAACTCCCACTCTGGTGATCTCAGGTATGGGGTCTGGCTCCCCATTAGAGAATATGGAGACGTGCTCTCTCCAGACACAGAGAAATGTTGTCTCCTCCTCTTGCCCACGGTGAGAAGGACCCAGAACTGTGACCTGATGAACTGCTACGACTCAGCTCTTTGTGGGTAGAAACTGAGGCCTGCACAGGTCTACTTGGTAATTTCTGAGCAGGCTTAATTACTCTTTGGGGGGGGGGGGTGTATAGAAACACCCTTTCCCAAAGAACAGCTAGTGAAGGAAGAGACCAGGCCTGGTAATGGTTCCATCTGTCACCAACCATGCCATGCTACTGTAGAGCTGTAGTTCAGAGAGAAGGCGTGTGGTCTGTGGGGTTCCAGGAACCAGCTGGGCTTGCAGTTTCTGTTGTCTATACTTTGTGTCTGGAGTAGGTGGGTGATGTAGAGGGACAAGTCTCCTTCACGGCAGAGGTCAGCAGATTCCCGTGGCCACCCCTCTCCTGGCCAGCACTTACCCCAGAGACGACAAGCTCCCCGCCGAGGTTCTGCACTTCAGCCTTGACCTTGCTGCAGATGTTGAGCTGGTGGCAGTAGAGAGCGATGCGCTGAAGGTAGGCCAGCAGGTCCTGCTTGCAGGCCGAGTCTGGGCACTGACGGAACAGGAAGCTCAGCTCTGACTGCTCCCAGCCCCACTCCCACAATCCCCTGCTCCCAGGGCTGTTTTTCAAAGGCTCCCTGTGCACACTAGCATGCTTCCTCCCTTCCTGAAGGTGCAAAGGGTGAGGGGGTGGGGTGAAGTGTTCTGTTCTCTAGGGCTATGACACCCCAGGCAAGTCACTCCTGGAGCCCTGCCTCAGGATGCAGTGACACTTCCTGAGCGTCCACTCAGTCGCACACTACTGCCCTACGCCTAGTTTCCACCCTAGGGGCGAAGCTCCTGGCCCTCCAAGGTGAGAGAAAGGGCCTGCTCACACAGAAAGTAAGTCGGGGCTCTGAGCTCTGTAAAGTAACCATCCCAAGACCTACTTCTTCGGCTTAAGCACTGCTCAACAAGGGTCCCCAAGACGAGCCCTGACGACAGACACTCTAGGCACAGACGGTTCCCAAAGTTACAAGTGCAGCCCTGTCTAGACCGCACTGAAGCCCAGGGGTTTGGGTCTCCTCAGATGTGTTTACAACAGACACTTGCTTCCATCGAGGGGTGGGGTGGGGTGGGGGGTGAAGTGAGCAGTAGTGTGGTAGAAAATGGGGCCTATACTCCATGCTGAAGGCTTTTAACTTTTTTCTAAGAAGCCACCAAAGCAGGGCAGATTCAAGTCTGCTTTGCATTTTATGATGACAGTGCTGTGGCTGTACGCAGACTGGAGAGAAGAACAGGTAATAACCACGGTGGTCCAGGTGGGTGAGAGATGACAGAGCTACTGATTTCAGACAGGAAGGACCAGCTCCACAAGGTTTTTGACTGGGCAGTCAAGAATGACTGTCGAAGGCTGGCTGGAGTAGTGAGGGACAGCTTAAGTCCTGGTACCACAGGAGTGTGCTGGGACGCTTCCTGGAGGGGAGAGGCCCCAGTGCTGAGGCAGAGAAGCCTGTCCCCCGCTAGATGCCCAGAGCTCCCAGGTCCTCCAGAAACCTCAGCAAGAGGCTCCCACACCTCAGTGCCAGTGTTGGGGTGGGCAGGTTCTGCTTCTGCCCAGAACTGGAGTTCTGGGGAGGGGGGGCGGGGAGGGGGCGGACCCGAAGAGTCACAGCAGAGGTTGGCTTTAATGATTTAGTGATGCCAAGTTTTCAGACAGACTGCCACTTACATGATCTGCGATTGTTCGGCCAAGCTTATCCATCCTGGACCCGGCCTCGGCGATTTTCTTGGCAGCACTGATCACATCTGACGTATTTTTGAGTGGTCCTTTGCCTCTGAAAAGAGAACACGATCCTGTCTATGAAGCCTCTCCTGGCGGGAGGTGAATGGAGAAAGGGTGTCTACAGAGAGCACCAGGGTCCTGGGGAAGTGCGCTCCCTCTCTGAGAAGCCTGTGGGGGGGTGGTGGTCTGCTCACCGGGTGAAGTCCGTCATCTCCATCATAATCATGCACATCTGCTTGGCCAGCACGATGATGTCATTGCCGCTGTCATCCCACTTGGACACTTCGGCATCCAGCTTGCTCTTTTCTTCCTGGAAGCTGGCCACCTGTTCGGCAATCTTTGCTTTTTGCTCCTGAGGAAGCTGGGCCATGATCGCCTACAATCACAAGCCAAACCACCCTTAGGAAGTTCTCAAAGTGCATTAGCCAAGAAGACTTCTAACACAATCTACACCCCAGCGAGGATAAGGCTTTAATGGTTGCATTTTGCCTGGAGGGCTATTTTCTCATCTTTGCAGGAGTTGACTGCACCTAAATCCCCGACCCACTTTCCAAACCATGTCTGAATGTGGAAGGAGACAGCACAGGAGGCTGGGCAGGCACCTGTGCTGATCTGACTGACTGACAAGTGTCAAGCTTGCTGTCTGTGGCAACATGAAAGGAGAGAAAGGGATGTGTGGGTGGAGCCCTGAACAGACCTTTCCAAGTTTGAAAGGTCCACCAGAGGTAGTCTGAGAAGACAGAGAGTCTTCTGAGGAACATACACCTTAGCTACTTGACAAGCAGCACTTTGGAGGCCAGCCGCCAAGTCAAGCCCAGAGCTTGGGCTCCATCCTCTAGGCTGTCCAAATGCTCCTGACTCAGTAAGGCCTAAATCAGGGTCATGCTCTCTGACAGATTTCCATGGAGTGAGAAAGTAGGCTCCTTAGCAATATCTCTTGACATCCTTCCAAAAGCAGGGACCTCATCGATTGAAGATGTAATGACCCCAATGCAATGGTGCCATCTGGTTTTCTCGAATATGGGTTTTGTGGGGTTTGTTCAGTTTTGTGTTTTGTTTTTTTGTTTTTTTGTTTTTTTTTTTTTTGGTTTTTCGAGACAGGGTTTCTCTGAGTAGCTTTGCGCCTTTCCTGGGACTCATTTGGTAGCCCAGGCTGGCCTCGAACTCACAGAGATCCACCTGGCTCTGCCTCCCGAGTGCTGGGATTAAAGGCGTGCGCCACCAGCGCCCGGCTGGGTTTGTTCAGTTTTTAAGGGCCATGAATAACTAAGAGTTCATTCCCATGGTTATCAATGCAGTGAGTAGAAGTATTTCACAATTCTTCTTAGCAAACATTATTCTGATTAGATTGGCAGCCTTTCCTGACCCAGGGTACCATAAACTGGCAGCCCAATGGGTAGTCGAGGCCCCCAGGTTCTTGCCCTGCTCCTTAGCTGAAGAGGCATTTTTTCGGAATGCCATGATTTAGGATTTCATTTCAGTCATACCACCAAAAAGAGGAAAGAATGGCACCCTGAATCCTGCTGAATAGCCTAAAAGAGAGAAAGGCCAGGGAGCCTCACAGAACAAGTCAGGACCAAAGAGAGTGTCCTTACCCGGGCACTTTGTCCAGCTATCAGTTGGTCGTCTTCTGTCTGAACACTTGTCCTACTTCTGACATCAAAATCTTCTGTCTCAAAGTCAGAGTCATCCAATTCCTCGGGGGTCTGCAGCCAAGACAAAAGACTATGAATCAGACACAGTCCCACGCCTCCAAACTCCCTGAGTGAAATCTCGACCAAAGCATGGAGGCCCCGATTCAGACTCTGGTCACCAGAGAGTGGTCTGCGTAGCCTCCACACCCTCACTTTTTAAAGAAAGCTCCTTTCCTAGGGTGCAGAGCTCAGGCTGACCACTGAATCAAGGCTTGCTGTAACAGATTTCACTTTTAATGCAGTTCCCAAGGGCTCTGCACACGAAGGTAAAAACCACCCTTGGCCAGAAGCCCTTCAGGCGGGTATGTTTATACCACATAAAGCAATCTCATGAAAGTCCCACTTTAGGACAACAAGAAAACGACGAGTTAATACTGAGCTTTCTCTCTGGGCCAAAGGCTATTTTGAGGAATAAAACAAAGCAATATAGTATTCCTACAGCCTTATTTTACTTCTATCAAAGGACAAAATACAGCAGTGAGAGTTCAGTGCCTACCAAAGGTACGACTGCTGTTTTCTGTCCTCTGCTGTAACTATTTAGTCACATTTCTATTTTGTACAACCTACCAGCCTCTCCTGATTAGCTACTGATTGACAGTTATCAGAAGGGATGACAGGAAGGAAGCGAGGCCTCCTCTTCACTAGGCCTTAAGTCAAGCCCTGCCCAGGGCCTTGTTGTGAGGCTCAACATGACAGAACATGTGGGAAGCACCCAGTGACATGAGCTTGGGTTCTGACAGGCCAAGGTTGGCCTGCCCCTAGAGAACTGAGAACAGTAGTGGGTGAGGATCACAGAGGCACAAGATCCTGTCGGTACCTCGGAGCTCTGGCCGCAGACTGCTGGTGTGCCAAGTCTAGGGCGGTTTCCAAAGCAGCATCTGACACTGCTCCCTTGCCTGCCCACGGCCTATTTGGGTCCTAAGCACCGTTCTTGCCAAGAAGAGCTCTTTTGTTCATTCACCCCCACCTATTCTAACAGGGAACAGCAGCAGCAATGGCAGAAACTGAGTCAACGACACGACTTGCTGCAGCGCCATAAACAAATGGAGCTGTCCTGCCCACTGGAACAGGGACAGGTCTTGTGAGGCAGGGACCGAGCAGGTTGGGGAGGGTGGGTAGCAACCTGAGGGAGGAGCAAAGAGGAAAAGAAGATGGTCTGGCTCACTGGCTGGGTCCCAGGTCAGGTGACTCTGAAGCAAGGGAAGAGCAGCAGCAGATGACAAGTGGTGTGGGCACCTCAGGAGAGTGTGGAGCAGCAGAGGACACAATCTGACGTGGCTCCAGGGCCTGACCTAGATGCACTGGGCTAAGGCACCTTCAGGCAGAGCGGTGGGACTAGGTAAGAGATGCCAGGCTAGGGTGGGAACACATTCATATTCCCGAGAGGGAAGATAAAGACTATCAGCTTTGTGTTTCATCAGGGGAAGCCACAGGAAGGACCCGAGCAAGCGGAGGAGTTAACTGCTGAGTAATCTCGCTTCAGAGGCTGGGGCTCACTCTTGGGCACAGTAACTGATAAAAAGTTGTAAATTAGCTACTTAAGTATGGAATTTAGCAAAATCAGCCTCTAAAGAAAGCATGTTTTTACAAAGAAATGCAGGCAAAGAAGCCAGGGCTTCCCTGCCAAGGAGACTGAGATTGAGAGGGGCTGAGAGTTTTGCCGTCCCCCCCAAATGAGGAACATAAGCATATATAGATAGAAAGGAGCCAGAGGCAGTGAGCAGGTTTAAAGGACGCTGTAGCCGTATCCAGTGCCGCGAGACCTCAGCCACCAACACTGACGGGGACTTCTTCCTAGAAGGAAGCAGTGGCCGCAGGGCACAGCAGCAGGGGACAGGTAGTCCAACGGCCTGCTGTTTCCACTGGGAAGATGGGGCACAGGGTTAGAGGTTCAGGTGTGGGAAGGTTCGAGAGGAAAATGAAATAGTTCGAGAGCTGCAGGAGTGACTTAACCAACAGGACACCAAGGGCCTTCCCGGTCCCGCCTCAGAAACTGCCATCAGAACGGCTGCGTTGATCGGATTTTTGCTCAGCAGGAAAATGAGAGATACTAAGACTGTATAACTAAGGTGTAAGAAAAGGAGATGTCTCAGAACTAAGACCTGGATTGGTAAGACCTGGGTGTCGGTGGGTAAAGGCACTTTGCTGCCAAGCCTGACAACTGAGTTGGATTCCTGGGACCCACATGGAGAGGACTGACTTCCACAAGTTGTGCTGTGGTCTCCATACATGCACACACAAGAATAACGTATTAAAAAAAAAAAAGACCCGAAGAGCTGAGTGAAAAGCGACAAGTGGGACCAATCTAAGAGTAAATCCAACACCGAAGACAGCGTGTGTGTATGTGTGTGTGTGTATGCGTGCGCGCGCGCAGCTCAGGACACACAGACGGAGGATGATAGTGAGACCCAGGTCCCTGCTTTTTTTATCTTAAGAGTAACATGCAAGAGACCCACAGCTATGGAAAAGGCAGTTTGGGAGACACAGGCCCAAGACATGTTTGATGGAAGAATCTGCAGTTTCAGAACCCCACCCCCACCCCAGTTCACAGGGAGGTCTAGGACTTTCTGCCACTTTTTCTGAGGTGGGTGACAGAAGACTCAGAGGCAGTACTTCCACTTGGCTCAGCACTTGGCCATGAGCCATGGAGATCAGGGGCTGCCACTCCTTATCCTGAACAAAGACTCCAACCTCCTGCCTGGGTTTCCCTTCAAGGAGAGGAGCGTTCCTTCTGGACAGAAGTACAGTAACTTTACCTACCTTAAGAAAAAGTTCCTTCTCTGATTTTCTGTAGTTTCCCCTGTAACTCAAACTATTCTATGTTTATCCAACTAAATTCCCTAAATTACTTCATCAAGCCCAACTCGTGTTAGGTCTCTTTTTTTGGTCCATGTATGGGTTCTAGCTCATTCTACCACTCTTAGATCCATGGTCTAATATACTGCCACTGTATCTGCTGAGTTTCAGAATGACGCATTGCTCAAGTTAGCAAATGATAAAAAGAAGCTGCTGAAATGTCTCGGATGTGGTTATTCACCCTGATCATCAGCACTGCTTTCCTGATGTCGCGGATGCCGTCGTACACCAGACGGGAGGCATCGATGAACTCGTTCTCATCCATAGGCTGCGCTGGGTCTGAGCTGAGGGCTTCCACAGCTGCTTCCACTTGCTCAGTGAACCGTGGCATGACTATGGAGACAAGAGGCAGGCAGGTCGCGCTAAGCAGACAGCACTCCTCAACCAGGCAGAAGAAGAGTCGGGCTCATGACCAAGGTCCTCTGGGTTTCTACTCTTGTGCCCAGTGCTCACCAGCAAAATAAACCAGTGTTCACATGTGACTTATGGACTCAATCATCTTCTTACCAGACTCTGAGCTAGGATTGGATGACTTGGGAGAATTTGAAATGATGCTAACTACTTTGAGACCTTAAGAATGGGACCTACAGCCGGGCGGTGGTGGCGCACGCCTTTAATCCCAGCACTTGGGAGGCAGAGCCAGGCGGATCTCTGTGAGTTCGAGGCCAGCCTGGGCTACCAAGTGAGTTCCAGGAGAGGCGCAAAGCTACACAGAGAAACCCTGTCTCAAAAAACCAAAAAAAAAAAAAAAAAAAAAAAAAAAAGAATGGGACCTACAACAGGTTGGGATAGTAGTTTAGTGATAGAGTGCTTGCCTAGTATGTAAGAGGTTCTGGGTTCAATCCCTAACTTTGCAAGAGGAGGGACCCACCTTAATTTCCTGTGTGTTCACTAACAGGAGACAACTCGGAAGTTCATCGCAGACACACAAAGGAAAATGTGTTCGTGAGCTGACTAATAACTAACTTCTCACTAGTACAATGAACCACCTAGTGTGTGTAAAACCAGAGCTGAGTTCTGTATGTGCAATCCACAGGATTTGGAATGATGTCAGAGCTAAGCCATGGTGGGGACCAGGGAGAACACTGGGAGAGGGACAGTCCTCAGACCTGTGTTGGAGAGCAGCTTGGTGGCTTCCAGAACCTTCTCTGTGTAAACTCCTGGCTCGTAGTTGTCCATCTCTGAGGTGACCACATGGATGACCCGAGCTGCCCGGCCTCGAATGGCGCCAGCAGTACGGTCCAGGCCATCCACATCTTTCTCTTGGAGAGCAATGACACATTTGTTCACATCCTCCAAAATGTGATTCTCTGAGGAACAAGCAAAAAGCTGAATGAAGGATCAGGTCTTCTAACAGAGGATGACAGCCTAGGATAGCATGTTCTATGCACAGTGGGCAGGCTTGGTGCCAAAAGTTTTACATGCAAAGCTGGGCACAGGCACACACTGCATGCTGGCACTCAGGAGGGTGGAGCTAGAATCTAGAGTTTAACCCAACTCCTGCACGCTGTCCTCTGTCCTCCAAAACACCCATGGCACCAAGTACCCACACTCAAGTGAGCAATGGAATAAAAACAAGCCCACCACCTTCAGTAACTGCTTCCTTGTTGACTGTCATTGAACAAATGGCAGAACAGTTCAATCCCAGGCTGCACCTGTCCAGCGTTTCCTCACCTTCCAAGAGATGCCAATAATGTTTAGGAGGCAGCAAGACGGAAATCAGAGGGTGCTGAAAGGCAGGTCTGACCCTCTGGGCACTGAGAGAATACATCTGAGATGAAAACGTTTGACATCTGTAGTCTCTAGAGAGGGAAACCTGTGAATCCAGCTGTGGTGATATTGTGTCCCCCAATATATTGTGCATTCTAATAAACTTATCTGGGGTCAGAGGACAGAACAGCCACTAGATAGACATAGAGGCCAGAAAATGGTGGCACACACGCCTTTAATCCTAGCCTTCTGGAGGCAGAGATCCATCTAGATCTCTGAGTTCAAAGCCACACTGGAAACAGCCAGGCGTGGTGACTCATGCTTTTAATCCCAAGAAGTGATGGCAGGAAGCAGAAAGGTAAATAAGGCCTGAGGACCAGGAACTAGACTCCTGTTAAGCTTTTAGGCTTTTGAGCAGCAGTTCAGCTGAGATCCATTTGGATGAGGACTCAGAGGCATCCAGTTTGAGGAAACTGAGGAACTGGCGAGATGAGGAAGCTGTGGCATGTTCTGCTTCTCTGATCTTCCAGCATTCACCCCAATACTTGGCTTCAAATTTGTTTTTATTAATAAGACCTTTTAAGATTCATGCTACATCCAGCTAACTGACAAGAAGTTCCTACTAGGCACAAGTTAGATTTGAAGACCGCAGACCATTTCCTTTCAAAGCCTGACACTGTTTTCAGAAACCCCAGAGCAAGTTCTTCCAATCTCATCTGTAACAGCAAAGGGGAAGCAAGCCAAAGGGTCAGGGGAACTGTCAAGCTGCACACAGGCACCATGACAGTAGAGGCAGAACTGTACGGACGGACCAGAAGGTGAGGCAGATCTACCAGCACACACGATGGGGCTGCGCTGGGCGGCAATATGACCTCCTCCTTTCCTGGGACGCATAACAGCTCTTGGAAGTTAATGTCGGTTAAAGACATGGTATCCTGCCAACAACAGTGTATGGCTAGCATGTGGCGAGAGCTTCTTGTAGAAGAGCTACAACACAGGTAGCAAATGCAATCTGTTTTAAGCACACTGGGGCCGGGCAGTGGTGGCGCACGCCTTTAATCCCAGCACTTGAGAGGCAGAGGCAGGTGAATCACTTGTGAGTTCCAGGTTAGCCAGGACTGTTACACAGAGAAAGCCTTTCTCGAAAAATAAAACAAAACAAACCAAACCAACAAACCAACCCTCACATGCCGGTGGTGACACACACCTTTAATCCTAGCCCTCGGGAGGCAGAGGCAAGTGAATCTCTGAGTTCAAGGCCAGCCTGGTCTACAGAGTGAGTTCCAGGACAGGCTCCAAAACTACACAGAGAAACCCTGTCTCAAAAAAACCAAAAAAAAAAAAAAAAAAAAATTAAGTAAATTAATTAAAAAGAAGGCAGCACACTGGGGCCCCGTGTGTGTGATGGCACACACCATTTATGCTTCAAAAGGTCAATATCCAGGACTGGTTTCTATTTTAACCACCTGTAGAAGCCATCATTCTTTCCTTCCCAGGCCCTCCTAATACACATGACTACGTCTGGACAGGAGGTAACAACCAGACTTACGACTCTAAAACACCATATTTATACACTTCCTCTAACCTCCTCTAGATGTGAGCCAGCAAATGGTACTCAGCAAACTTAAGTCACAGCAGTGTCACACTTTGGACTCCGGACACCAGGAAGTCTCCTGACAGTTTCCTACCAGCGTGCAGGCAGGCACTACAACGGTGTCTTTGTTTAGAAGTTACTAACGAGTAAAGTGGACACTCACAAATGAGAGAAGGAAACAGCTAACCACACTGGGCACACTTGTCGTTCTAGCCCCCAGGAGGCAGGAGCAGGAGGACTGCCAAGTTCAAGGCCAACCTGGGCTAACTAGTAAGATCCATTCAAGGCTTAGTAATGCTAGAACCCTTGCCTATCTTGTGCACTGCCCTGGATCCCATCCAACACCATGGGGATGAGGAGAAGAGGAAAAAGCAGTAATTAATGATAGGGGAAAAATTTTAAAAATCAGTTGGTTTCAAAAAAGTCTTTCCAAGGAAAGCTACGAAACAAACAATAAGAATTCCCGCTATGAAAGCACATGTGGTGGTGCATGCCTTTAATCCCAGAATTTGGGAGGCAGAGGCAGGAGGATCACTGTGAGTTCAAGGCCAGTCTGGTCTACAGAATGAGTTCCAAGACAGCCAGGGCTACACAAAGACACCCTGTCTCGAAAAACAAAGAGAGAGAAAGAGAGAGAGAGAGAGAGAGAGAGAGAGAGAGAGAGAGAGAGAGAGAGAGAGAGAGAGAGAGATTGAGAGACAAAATTTCTACCATAAATTTTAGGATCTTTATACTAACTAGAAGAAGAAATGGAGCTGACCTGAAATCCAAACCCCCACATACTAACACCAACTAAACAATGTATACCAAGCCTGTCCATCATTCAAGGCCTCAGTGTTGAAAGTGCTTTTTCTGAAACCAACACAAGGTAAATGTGGAAGATATATCTTGTATTACAAAGTAAGAACATCAAAAGAAAAGGAAAGATTCTGCTAAGAAAACTACAAACCAGTGTTGTTCGAATTATTTCTTTTAATTCTCACCCCTGTTTTAGGGTGGTTAAGACCTCAGACTCAGTGATGTACTCTACAAAACCCATCACCAGATACCTACACGTTTACAAAAAAAAGCTCCAATTTTAATAACTTCATCCTAACTTTTCCCCATCTGTGATCACATCAGAGAAGTTATGCATGCCACTCTTTAGCAACAAAGGAAATCCATTTAAAGAAGGTGAATGTGTGTTACTCTCAGAAAGTGTGATGAGCTCTCCACTAACATGGGAGATGAGCATCTGGGCATGCCTGAGAGGGATTACCTTGATTAGGTTAACTGGGGTGACAAGTTTTATCTACTGTAGGTGGACCATTCCCTGGGCTGAGTCCTGGACTGGACTAAAAGGAGAAAGGAACCAGGCAGAGGTGGCGCACGCCTTTGATTCCAGCACCGTGAGCTCACAGCCAGCCTGGTCTACAGAGTAAGTTCCAGTTTCAAGACAAGGAGAAATCCTGTCTTAAAACAATAAAAAATTAAAAAAAAAAAAAGAAAAGAAGGAAGGGAGCTGAGTCCATTTACTCTCTGCTTCCTAACTACAGATACAGAGTGGCTAGCTACCTCCAACTCCAACCGCTAGGACTTTTCTGCCATAATAGCCTGTACCCTTGAACTCTGAACCCTTTCCTCCTAAGCTTCTATCCAGGTTCCTGATCACATCAGCAAGAAAAAACACCAATATTCTCTCTAGTCACTGAGCTATACTTGTACTGCTTCCTCCAAAGAGAAATTCTCAGTGACAGTTTTGCTTATTTTACTCTAAAAGAAAAAAAAAGCACCAAAGTCCTTTTGTATCAAAAGCAGACAAGGCAGGGAACAGACATTTTAATGATGGCTAACACTGACTGTCAACTTGAAGGGATCTAGACTCACCAAGCAGACAAGCGTATGGCCACACCTATGAGTAATCGCTTGGATCAGGCTAACTGGGGTAGGAAGACTCATCTCACTATGGGCGGTCTGGGGTCTTAGACTGAATAAGAAGCAGAGTGTAAACCCAATCAAAAGTCCATGGCTAAGGAGCTCTGGGCCCTCAAGGGGGACTCACTACTGTTGTTTAGTTAAACTGGTATCACACGGCCTTCTCAACGCTTGTTTATATTACACAGACAAGACCTTTTCTTCGAAATGAACAGTAGTGGACACAGACACTTGGTTATTCAAGGTGCTGAGAATAAGGGATGGTTGAATGCACAGCCCTAAACAGGACAACCCACTCTAGGCTTGGGAACATCATGGAAAGGGGGACCGAAAGAATGCGTGCACCAGAAGACAGAGAAAAGGCCTGTGACGTGCGATCTTCTGGTCATGACAGCCATTACAATGAACTCACACAGCAGTTGCCTGCATTGGGCCTGTCAAGAGTCAATCATGGATGGAGGAAGATCTTGCAGTGCCCAAGGCCTTCCCAGACTACTGGCTACTGATAGATTCCGGAGGAAGGGAAGTCACTGTGGATCTGAGTGCTATAAATTAACTGCTGAGTATACTACGACTCTACCCAGGCACCTGCTTGGCCCTTGACCACTCCTCTAAAAAACACCTTGATTACTAATCACTTGCATCCCTCAGCAAGCTTATGACAGAACAATAGAAAAACACACCAGTAGACAGCCAGAATTCAGATGTTCTGAAATACCACTACTTCTTCAAGAGAGTAATTCTGTGCTTGAATTTGCTAAATAGAAACTGGCTCAACTGCTCTGCACTAAGTGAGTGCCCCCCGCCCCCCCTTTTTGGGGGGTTGGTTTTCGAGACAGGGTTTCTCTATGTTGTTTTGGTGCTTGTCCTGGATCTCATTCTGTAGACCAGGCTGGCCTCGAACTCACAGACATCCACCTGGCCCTGCCTCCCGAGTGCTGGGATTAAAGGTGTGCACCACTGCCACCCAGCTAAGTCAGCCCTCTCTTAAACTCATATTACATTCGCCAGATAAAAGTGAACCTGCTAAAGAATTTGATTTCTCTTTACTGGTCTTCTGTTTTATATGAAATAACTTTAAAAAATCCTGTCTGGATCCCACTAAATGCTGCTACTGAATCCCTTCTACTGTCTGATTTGAAGAGTATTATATGAGGGACATTTTGATTCTATTATATTCTACTTTACTATAAGAAAGAATGAAAATTCCTTGAGACTCAGACTGGTAAACATATCCAACCTAATTTCAAAAAACTGTACGAATGTAGTATTTATCCAGAGGGGGCTTTGCATTTAGATTTCCGAATTTGTTGTTTGCTTAAAAATGTGCTATGAAGGTGGAATGTTTTTCCCTAAACCTATGAAAAAGAGTGATTCCACACTTCATTGGGAAAAACAACAGAAGGCCGAGATTTCCCAGAAAGGCCATTGCTGCATCTTTGGCACCTGCAACAGTGTGCTCGAAGATGGATTTTTTGTTTTAAAGCGGCAGCATCTGCAGTTTGGCAGTCCTGCAGCAACACGGTTTACCCTGTCTTCCTGCAGCTAACAGACAGCCGACACCCGACTTTCTCAAGTTAAGACAAAGAAAGCGAAGACAGGGACACATTGGTATGCCGAACACAGTGTCCCCTATATAGGTCACCGCTGGAGGACTGTGCTGTGCATGTACTTAAGTTCTGCTTCTCTTTCAAGCCCCACTGCCACTCACATCTTCCACATTCCAGCCTGTGCTTCCCCGGGGTGACAGGTAGTTTCAGCTCTACAAGAACCCAGTCACTAACTCTGCCCACAGCCACTAGCCTCAGGACGCCTGGCATTTCCAAGGAGAAGACACAGGCAGGGGCAACAGAGGCCCTGTTAAATAGAGGATGCATTTAGTGTTACTCAGCTCTAAGGAGACAGGATTGAAATTTATTTCTGTGAGATAAACACGAAATTGCATTTGACAGACATGTTCTATATGAATGCAATTTACTATGTCATTACCAGTTTATGTTTATATAATGAAATCAACTGTTTTTGTGAGGTGAATTACTCAGATTTATTTTTTCCAAGTTCATAATTAAATGGCACTTAAATATTTCCTCTCTGTTTTCTCTCTGTGCATCAGGCAGACACAGTCTTTGGGGAAGTAGTCAGTTAAACTACGATCACTTCTGATAGACAGAGCTTTCCAAGAAAGGAAAGAGGATTCTCTATAATAAACTAGCTGGCAGGCTCCTCCTGAGTTTCACGGGCTCAACGACACTAGGACATAGGTCTAAACTGAAGTATTAAGAGGGGTGAATGTTATACGCTACACAGGTCACAGCCAGAGGGTCTCAGTCTATTCTAGCAGTGAAAGGTTTTGCTAGTCCAGGAACTAATTCTTCCAGGATGCACACCAGCCCTACCATGAGGAAAACAGCTCCAGTTCCAACACCCCTGCACAGGACACAGGTCAGAACTCAACTGGAAACCGGAACGTTACTGATAGAATTCACTCGCCCAGATTTGCAGTGTTTTGTCTGTGATTCCGACTTGGACAATACTTACACATGCCACTCTAGCGAACCAGGTTCATTACCTGAGACAGCCAAGAAGTCATCAATAGAAGTAATGTCATCAACAGCATCTGTGAGGACTCGGACTTGTTTTTCCCACTGCTCTTTAAAAAGATCCATGTTCTCTTGGGCCAGTTTACTCTGTGGCTTTGCTGCTAAGGCCAATGCGGCATTGATAACCTGCAGAAGAGATTAAAGCACATGGTTCACTCTATTTCAAAGCCCCTGAGATCAATCACATGGGGTGACTGGGTCAACAGAGCAGCAACAGCTCCCTGTCACTGGGAAACACCATGTGCTCCACCATAACTGGTACAAAGAGGAAATACTCAACATAAGGCTTTAGACTTTACCACCAAAGCAGCAAGTCTGATTAGGAAACAATAGGCAACTATAAAACAAATGAAAGCTCCTCCAATTTCTCCAATCTGTGAAGGCAATTCTATAATTTTTGACATTAAATTTCAGGCTTTTTAAAAAAAACTCAATTATACAAATGCACCATCAAAAATTACATAATTAAAATTATAGGCCAGGTGGCAGTGGCGTGTGCCTTTAATCCCAGCACTTGGGAGGCAGAGCCAGCCTGATCTACAGAGCAAGATCCAGGACAGGCACCAAAACTGCACAGAGAAACCCTGTCTCAAAAAACCAAAATAAAATAAAATAAAATAAAATTATAGGCCACATACAAAACTCTCCTGGTTCCTTCTTTTAAATATGTCAAGATCATTAAGTACACATTAAGACATTATTTAGTATTCCATTTTATAGGTATCTCATGTTACTCTCCTGCTGTGAGATATTTAGGCTCATCTCAGTTATCCATCACTATTACAAAAGTGGCAATAATGTCCAATAATGCATACTAATGCCCAGTACCTGACACGCCAAACTTACCTCAATTCATTCATAATAAAGGTATTGTATTCCAATTCCAAGGACTTTTTTTGTCATTTTAACAAAGGTGTATCTGACTTGTAAAAACTCCATAAAAAATATAGCGTGTTCATCTGAGCACAAATACAGGGCTGGGGACATAGCTGCCTGGTAGAATGCCTACCTAGTATGTACAGGGATCTAAATCCCAGCCTTAGTACAGCATGCACACACACAGATACTTACTGAGATATAATTCATACAATTTATCCATTTAAAGCATAAAATTCAATGACACTATAGTCACAATGATACCAGATTCAATTTTATCTTTTTTTCACTCCAAAAAGAAGGTCCAAATGCATTAGCAAGCACTCGCTAGTCCTCATTTTCCTCTTCCCTCCTCATCCCCATCTTCTAACTACTAAGTTACCCGCCCCCCAAAGTGCATGGTTGTCTTCTTTCTCACTTCAAGGCTGAACCCCCTAGTCTTGGGCCATGAGGTACAATGTTCCCATCTTCACTGTCACAGAGATCCTTCACTAACTACAGAGTGTTCTTTGACTGCTAGTTTTTGATAACTACTCTTTGATAACTGCCAGTAGTCTCCTAACCTGGGTGCTGGGAAACAAACTTGGGTCTTTTGCAAGTACAGTCCGTGCTCTTGACTGCCGACCGCTCTCCAGGCCCACTCCCTTTATGACACGCTTTAACCATCTCTCTTCCTCGTTTTCTGCTGTCTCTCTGCAAGGTCATTTTCATACTATCATTTTCCACTGCATTCAGTGAATATGTGAAAGGATCTGAAGAGTTCCTTCTCCAAAAGATACACAGAAATGGGTAGTAAACACATGAAAAACAATCTTACCACCCTTAGCCATCAGGGAAATGCCAATTTATCTAGATAACTAGAATTAACTTAAGAGAGATAAACAGCCCACACTGTCCACTTTCTATCTGCCAATACTGAAGTTGCCCAGCTCTGCATGTATAAAGAACAATCACCCCCAGAAAAGGCCTTTTACTCAGGACATACCCCTAATGTCAAGTGTGGCTTGAGTGCTGTGTCCATCTTAAGTGAAACTGCACAGGAGAAAAATAAGGCTTTGGCGGTGAGTCGTGCTGCGACTCGGGGCAAGTCACAGGGACCGACTAGACTCTCCCTGGGATTCTCCCCTAGGCTTTAAGATCATTTATATAAATACTCCCGGTAGGTGTGATCGGCGCATGCTACCATCTGTTTCTGAAGATATGTGGAAGCACTGTCGCTTTTCAAGCATTTTAAAACGAAACAGAGAACCAAAGATATGAAAGTGTTGGGAGGAGAAAATGGCAAACTTGAGGGAAGAAAGTCTATTCTTTAGAATCTACTCTAAATTTATTTCATACGATTTGGTCACCCTGGAAGTAGATTAAATCTGCCGGGTTACTTATCTGCATAGCAATCAGTGACTGAAAATTTTATGACTGTATAAAGCTGGGGAAATGTTTATCAGACGGTGGGGGTTTGTAACTGGTCCATCACAGAGTCTTTGTACTCTTTCACGTGAAAGAGCCAAGGTGAGAGTGTCCCAGAGCATTTAGGGTTACAGACTTCACACAGAAACCTTATCCCTGAAGCCGCTGGCCCATTACTACAGTTCCTGTGTGTCCCCCTGAGTCTACGGCCACTGCCAGTTTGGTAAGACATGCAGAGAGGTTAATGTAAGGTCATCAGACTCGGCAGAACTGAGCCATCTTGGTGACCCCTCGTATGCACTTTAAATGAAAGGTAAGGAGGCAGTAGAACACGATAAAGAGAAAATGATACTTAAATTTTTCCAAGCTATGTGGTTTTTCTGTATCAGTATTTCTATTTAAAATCCCTTAAAGGAGAGGAGAGGGGAGGAAGGGGAGGGGAGGGGAGGGGAGGGGAGGGGAGGGGAGGGGAGGGGAGGGGAGGGGAGGGGAGGGGAGGGGAGGGGAGGGGAGGGGAAAGGGGGCTGGAGAGATGGCTCAGAGGTTAAGAGCACTGACTGCTCTTCCAGAGGTCCTGAGTTCAATTCCCAGCAACCACATGGTGGCTCACAACCATCTGTAACGAGATCTGGTGCCCTCTTCTGGCCTGCAGTCATACATGCTGTATACATAATAAATAAATAAATCTTTAAAAAGAAAAAAAAAGTGGTTACTTTAAAAAAAAAAACGAAAAGAAAAGAAAAAGGAAAGGAAGGAAAACAAAGGAGAAAAACAAGCAAACCTAACAAAATCAATTCACATCCACTCTACTAACACCCACGCTAGAGATACTGTAAGCTTGCTGGCTATACGTTACCTGAGGACAGAGTGCTTCTAACTGGCTTGCAGACATTCGGACGAGCTTTACACCTTCTTCATTATTGGAGATTGAACAGGCCAAGTTGGCAACCTGCACGAGAAAAGAACATAAAAATGCCTGTAAGCATTTTTCTCTTTGATTGGAAAACAGGCCAGTACCTACCTCTTACTCTGGCCTTCCCAGAACAGAGAGATAACAAAAGCACCATGGAGCTTCACTTCTCAGACTGATTACAGTTTATTAGGACACATTTTTAACAGTAAGGACTTCACAATGTTACACTGTAGGCTGGTATCAGAAGGGATAGCTCACAGGCTCTGAAGGAGCTCCAATTGGCCTACACAGTCTATAAGGATGTCTAGTATAGACATTATGTAAGAAAAGTCAAGAACACCAAGAAAGGAACTGTTAGTATCCACAAATAATCAATTTTGTAGCTGTTCTTGAAAGAAGGAAATTTAAAAAAATTGCTCCAAACTGCTGTTCTCACTGTCATATGTAGAAATATAAGTTAAGTTTTATTTGAATACAGGTCAATTAAGAAGATTTTTAAAACATCGTAAAGGTGACATTAAGATGGACCCAAGAGCGAGAGTACTGGAGCACGCCTTCAATCCCACCACTCAGGGGGCAGAGACACGTGGAGTTCTTTGAGTTTAAGGCCAGCCTGGTCTACAGAGTGAGTTCCAGGACAGCCAGAACTATATAGTGAGACTCCATTCCGAAAACAAAACAAACAAAAGATGGATCCAACACCACTCTCATAAAAATGGGAAGGAAACGGTGATGAAACTCCAGACATGAACAAAGCCTCCTTCAGCTGGGTTCTTAGGACACTGGTGCTGGACTGTCTTGTCTGGCAGGGTTTACTTTAATGGAAATCTTTCCCTTCCCTCCCAACAGTCCCCGCGGCACAGCTGACATAACCAGAAGTGATTTTTACAGGCTGTGTCAAAGTTTAGCTTGCAAGTACTCTGGCTACACTGAGAATGTTGCTCTTCAGCGACGCTGAGACAGTTATAATAACCTTGCCAGTTCCATTAGCCATGCCAGGCCCACTACATAGTGCTGAGAAACAGCTTCATCTCAGGTATGAACTGAGTATGAATGATAAAGGCACAGGCAGTGGGATAGCAGAGTTAATGTCAGAGGAAACAAGGGCGCAGCGACAACCTTTGACTTTCACCCCTTCACTCAATTTAAATAAATAGATGCACAGGAAAAATTTGACTACTACGGCTACTGTTTGCAGTATTACAGTTAAGACTATTATCTATTAAGCACCAGAATCGTATTATACCTAATAGCAAGGAAAAACAGAAGTAACATGCAATTTCAAAATAAAAATTGGAAAGTGATCTCTGATATTCCCAGAACCTTTAAAAAATCACATCAAGTATAACATTTTAGATCCCAGAAGCTTACAATTCCACCTTCTGTCGTCAACTTGACCTGAACAAAGGAGTATTTTCTGAAAGCTCACACTCTACAGATTATCATTTGTTTAAAGTCATTGCAAATTATCAGAACACTTTGAAAAAATAAACTTAAGACTTAAAACTCCAAATGTATTTGATCCCGAGAGTGGTGGCAATTCCTGTAATCCCAGCGCATGGGAGGCTGAGGCAGCATTACAGGACTGAGACCAGTCTGGTTATACTAGAAGACCCTAGCTCACACCCATCAACCAAACAACCATCCAAACAAACAAACAAACCTGAAAGGGAGGGTGTTCTAGAAAACAAAGAAAAACCTAGCTGCTCACCACAAAGCCCTGGGGAGGTGACACAGAAAGACCCACAGCCCCACCCTGTCCTCTCTAGGTGGCCCTCAGACAATCATTCAGTAAAGAATTAAGTTTTCTCCCCTCGCATCACTAGAAATTGATTTCAACTTATACCATCTCAATTTTGTGAATCTTATAACTTACAAATATTTTCAAAATTAATAAGTAAAGTACTATATTCTTGACTGAATTCCAATACAAAATAGTGAAGGGTAAGGCTAAAACGGCTAAATTCTTCAAGTCATTTGTTTCCTGATACAAATCTTAGGACAAAGGCTATGGACGACTTCTCCTGTGTTTTAAAACCTTATTCTAAAATGTTTCCGATGTATTATCTATCAGAGCAGGAATGCTCTACAAGAGGACAGTGTGTGTTTTAGAAGGCCTGGGAGGGGAAGGGACGCCTGTCACTGGCAGTCTTTTCTGGATGAGTAAGCTTCAGTACACCCTCCAGGAACAGGACTACTCACTTCTCACGATGACAAATGTGCAAATACAACATCTCAACCAGAGCTCTCTCAGAGGCTAGCCTCATATCCCAGCGCCAGACCTGGTACCTTGAAAGGGAGTAAGGGGAGGGAAATCCTTCACACCTCTCACTGAGGAAAATCTGCACCTTTAGATTTGGAACAGCAGTCAATACAACTTTAAAAAAACCAGTCTGTTAGAGAGACAGCCCAGCTCAGCAATTAGAAGGGTGCGGGCCGTTCTTCCAGAGGACTCAGTTTGATCCCCAGCACCTACATGGTGGCTCAGATGGTGTAACTCTAGTCCCAGAGGATCTCCATCCTCTAGGGGCAGCAGGCATGCACATGGCATGCAGGCAAAAACACCCATTCCCATTAAGTAATAAAACCAGTGTGAAGTCTTTAGCTTGACAGGTACAGCAGTGCATACCCTGTAACCCCAGCAGCAAGGAGCTGAGGTAGGAAGACCCTGAGTCCCAGGCCAGTCGAGGCTACACAATAAAGAACCTGTCTCAAATCACATGGCCTAAAGGCATAGGTTTTAATCCCAGGAAGTTCAAAAATAGCTTGGGCAAATTAGTAAGACCCTGTTTTTCAAACCTTTAAAAAGTAAAAGTAAAGTGTGTGTTTTGGGAGTGGGGATGGCTCGTGGAGAGTGTTTACGTAGTAAGTGTGAGGTCCTGGGTTCAATCCCCAACACAGTAGTGGTATGTATCAGGGCGATCTCAAGAATATCTGAAGTCTGAATAAAAAAACACAAACAAGAAACATGGGAGCATTTACCTTCTATCAGAAAGCCTGAGGCAGATTCTACTGATAAAACAGCAAGTATGTGGTATCGAAACAAAAGAGGAAAATACAGAACACAATCAAAAAAGAGTTAAGAATAGAGAAAGAGTTACAGATGAACAGGATTAAGAAAGAGAAAGGAGCCGGGCGGTGGTGGCGCACGCCTTTAATCCCAGCACTCGGGAGGCAGAGCCAGGCGGATCTCTGTGAGTTCGAGGCCAGCCTGGGCTACCAAGTGAGTTCCAGGAAAGGCGCAAAGCTACACAGAGAAACCCTGTCTCGAAAAACCAAAAAAAAAAAAAAAAAAAAAAGAAAGAGAAAGGAAAAACTAATGGCACAAATGAATCCACCTATCAGCAATGGTAATGAATGCTCTCAATTCTTTCACATAAAGGCACATACTGGATAGTTCTGCACATCATAGGTGGCTTGGTAGCAAATGACCTTGCCATTAATGAGTAATAATTGTCCTATGTTTATTATTAAAGTGTTGAACATCAATCATTCGACACCTCATCTACAAATCTCATGAAAGGTTTCTTTCTGAAATTAGTCTTTGGATGGACTTATGTCCCAGGAAAAAAAACATCATGAATTCCTCAGCCTACATGGTTGTTTAGCACTCCAATCCCAGTAGTTCAGTATGAAATCCAAACTCCTGCAAGACAATTACACTGTCTGCTATTCTTTACTTGGTCCTAGCTTTCCACATATAACTTCATTTTATATATATATATATATATTTGTTCAAAATAAGTCATGCAATCTAATTTTAGGAAGAATCAGAGTATAAATAAGTATCACTAGTAACAAACACAAAATAGGATTTATAACAGTGAATTTACTTAAATGATAAATTATTTTTAAAGTTCTCTATTTCTAGTCTACCTAACTGCCTAATCTATGAGTAAACGTAGAAATGGTGCCTCACTAAACATGGGGGGATATCATTAGTCCCCTCTCCCAATGAGAAAACTGGAGTCCCTACATTCTTTGGGTCTTACTATACATTTCTGGCTGGCCTGGAGCTTACTATGTAGACTGAGCTAGTCTGAAACAGGGATCTGCCTGCCTCTCCCTCCTAGTACTAGAATTCTAGGCCTAAACAATCGTGCCTGGCAGGCCTCTAATCTGTACTGTAACATAGCCAAGGTTGGGCAAAGTGTTCTTCTATCACTCCTACCAGGCTGCAAGAGAAAAGAAAAGAAAATGCTGAGGCCCATTCCGAATAGAGTTTCTGGGGCAGTTCAGATGACTGTGGGTGGAGGCGCTTGCTGCCCGGCCAGACGACTTGAGTTTGATCGAAGGGACCCAACTGGTAAAAGGAAAGCGTCATTGCTCTAAGTTTGCCTCTGACTTCTGCAAGTGAGCCCTAACATGTAAATAAATGGTGCGTGGGTGGGTGGGAGGGAGGGAGGGAGGGAGGGTCTGCTTTGTTAACTTGACAAGGTGACAAGTCTGGAGAGGGGAAAGACTTGTCCAGGAACAAGTAAGACACCCTAGTCTCATGCTAAGTTTCAGCAGAACTTAGAGCACCTGGAAAATATGAGAAGGGTAAGCACACAACACTAAGAATTCTTCTGGAATCCAGGGTCATAAGTCTCTTCGGACGCATCATTTCTTTCATGCAACTTCACAACAATTACAGAAAATGGAAACTTCCTTTGTTACTTGCTAGAGTTCCAGCCTGCCATATCACGCAGAAGCACTGAGAAAATACACAACCAGTCATATAAGATCAATGTTTAATACAAATTCTTCACAGACCCTTCAAGGACACTTTGATCCATATTACCACATATGAATTCACTACAAAAATCAACTAAATAGGGGCTGGAGGGATGGCTCAGTGGTTAAAAGCACTGGCTGCTCTTCCAGAGGTCCTTAGTTCAATTCCCAGCAATCACATGGTAGCTCACAACCACCTATAATGAGATCTGGTGCCCTCTTCTGACCTGCAAGCATATATGTAGGCAGAACACTGTATATATAATAAATAAATAAATCTTTAAAAAAATCAAATAAATAATGCAGATCATTCAATTTGT